CACTCTCCTCAGGCATATCAGTTGCACACTGATGTAATTCACCTCTTCTGCTGTACTCCTCCATATCCTGAGCGGTATCTGAAAGAAAAGCCAGGAGGCTGAGACATAACATATATCTATTATGCTAAACAGTTAATTTTAAAATGCAGTTTTATATGTTTCAGAGAACCAAAAGAGAGGATCCTGCCATGTTACTATATTTGGTATCTCTCTTTTCCTATCTGTCCAAACCCAAGCTCAATAGAAATGGACAATATTTAGCTCTGTGAATGGTCACAGTGACAACATTTGTGCCTTATAGTCTTCAGGTCACAACTTACTGATTGGAGTTGCAATCATCAGATGATAAGCCAGCAAGGGAGAAGCACCCAGACACAAAGGAACCCATTGGAACATGTACAACTGTAAGTCTCTAATTATCCTTTCTAATTCTGGAGCCATGTGACTGGACTTCACACAGCACTGCTGACCCCATCAGCCTGAGTGCTATGTAGCGGACCACAAAGGGAGGGGATGCTCCTCTTTGCTCCTTCATTAAAATATTGTGTTACAATCACAGGGTGAGTTATTTCCTGACCGACATGCGGCTTCCTCACCAACATTCAGTGTCCAGAGCACTTCAGAGCACCTGAGAGTATTTAACTATTCCTGTCCAGATTTATTCCAAGGTCTTAAGAGGTTTTTTTCACCTTATAAAGAATGATGTATTTGATATCAAAAAGGTATATAATCCTTCAAAAGACAAATAGTGAGCACATGTACTCTTTAAAAATGCCCTTTCCAACTTGATACTAGAATACTACAGATTTGAAATGTTTTCTTCTTTGATTTAAGTGGAGAGAGTAACAGGGAAGAACAACCCCCGCCCCTGACCACCAATGCATGGCTAAATCCAAATTGGAAGGCACTGCTGAGAGAGAGAACTAAGTTTTGCTGAAGTGATACAACATCCTCATTAACCTTCCCAAACACTTGCACCTTTCTTTAAAGAAGCAACACAAAAGAGAATAGTGTTATCTTGCATTCAAATGAAATCACTGTCAAATACTGCCACTGAAATCACCTTTTTTTTTCTTTTTTTAGAGAGAGTGAACACACCCATGCTGGGTGCACAGGCTCCACACCCAAAAGAGCCCAACACAGGGCTCGATCTCATGACTGTGAGATCATGATCTGAGCCAAAATCAAGAAAGAGTCAGACACTCAGGCACCCCTGAAATCATCTTTAATGACAAAGTAAATCACATACTGAAGTAGAAAAGGATTTTAAAATATACCTAGGCAATGCCAAATATATTTTTGTTTTGAAACCAAAAATAAATGGGCTCTGGAGCCTGACTGCCTGGGTTCAAACCCTGGGCATGCAACTTACCATCTGTGTTACTTTGAGTAAGTTACTCAAATGCGCTATGCCTCAGTTTCCTCATCTAGAAAATGAGAACATTAATTGCTCCTTTCTCCTAGCTTATTATGAGAATTACATACCATGTGTTTACTAAATAAAAACTATAGGATGCTTATGATACAGAATTGTGCTTAGAGACAACCTAAGTAATATTATAATCTTTTCTACTGGCTGACAGTTAATATTTTATACATTAAAATCAATACCTCAACAGAGATGGGCTTAATTTCTTGGTTCAGGTCTAGTTAGAATCAAAGAAGCATTATCAGGGAGACAGTCATATCATCATCAGTCATTAGTCATATCATAAGTCGTGTATCATCCCCTTTTCTTTGTGCCTTCTTGAGAGTTCACTTTATTCAATATAGTCAGACCCCACCCCCCCCAGTCCACTGCCAAGGGAACAGGAGAGGCCAGTGAATAGAGACAGAATACTAGGCATGTACACTTGTTTGATTTATCACTTTCCTTATACAAATGTCACATTTATTAATAAAATTGGAAAATGTTTTTTCACTTGAATCCTAACACTTTGGCCCTGAGCACGTTGTTGAGGGAAGTCAATCAGGCTGACTATTGGGCAGTCAGCATTCAAGTCTGGATTTCCTTAACAGGCTCCATAGTCTACTTCCTTACCTCTGCAGAAGAATGTTTTAATGTAAAGGAAATGTTTAAAAGCCTGCTCACTGATTACTTTAAAAATTTGTGGAGACATGTTTGTTAACAATTTGGTAAATTTTTTTTTCTCAAATTGAACACACACACCAACAACAACAATAAATTCTACAATTACCAACTCACACTTCTGGTTCCATAGACATATGGCATTAGAGAAATTAGATTTAGAAAAAGAATAAAGGTATGAGACCAGGCTGCCTAGAAGAGCAAATGTATCTAATCTAGGAGTCAGACAATTTGAACTCTGGTAAAGGATCTCTCACAGGTAAATCCATCCCACCAAACTGGGACTCAGATTCTTTACTGTAAAACAAGACTATCTAAGGCCCCCTTCAAGCTAAAAAAAATGTCATAATTCTTCAACCTACAATTTTTCTGGTGCTGCAACTTAAAAGCACCAAAAAGTCAGAGGGGTAAAGAAAAGCATAAAAGTTATTCCAGTTTCTTTAAGATTTTTTAGGAAAAAGTAAGTAAAACTTCTTAGATCATTGAGCCCACCCTACATTTTTAACCCTGAATGGACACATAAATCATAAAACAAAACCTTCTTCACCTGTAACCACATATGCCAACTCGAAGAACACAAATAGGTCTGTTCAAGTTACCAGAAGTGTTAAAGGAAGGGAAGAATGACCACTAGTCAGGAATCACATGGAAGAGTATCAGAGCTGAAAGAAGCGTGGCTGACACATCCCTAAGATGCTTCTCATTCATATTAGAATTCACTCTTTTTTTTTTTAATTCCAGTTAGTTGCACAGTGTTAGTGTCAGGTGTACAATTTAGGAATTTAACTCTTCCATACAACACCGAGTGCTCATCACAAGTGCACTCCTTAATCCTCACCGCTTAGCTCATTGATCCCCCCACCCACCTCCATTCTGGTAACCATCAGATTGTTCTCCATAGTTAGAGTCTGTTTCTCAGTTTGTCTTACTACTGGCCAAGATCTCAAGGTTTGACAATGCAGGTAATGAAGCTTTATCTTGAGATTGCCTAAAGTGTACGGCTGTCTAAATCTGAGATGCTAAAATATACTATAACTTGCCAAATAATCTTTCTTAACTATCTAACTCTGCCCTACTAATAATGACTGGCACCCACACTGGCCCCAATGATGACTACTTCCTATTGTAAATAAGCAAACCATACATTTGATAAACATTTCACCTAATTCCTTCCTGATCTGACTTTCTGATGTTCATCTCTTTTTATTTACTTACTCTCCCTGAAGCTTCTGCAGCAAAGCCTCTCAGCCCAAAATACCTCAGCTCCCCCATCTATTTTTTGGGTCTGTAATATAAACAACTTCAATTCACCCCAGAAAGCTGGACTGAAGTTCTAATAAAATTATCTGCATGCCTATACTATTGCATTTTATCTCAACTTACAGTTATCAGAGATGATGGTGAAACAAAAGGGCCCTCCTCCCACCCCAAGGGGAGGACCATGGTCCTCAGAAACACCTTACCCTCAGGGACACCCCCTCCCACCCCCTAGCCCCGGAAATACAGAAAGTCTAAATGTGGACTCGCCAACCAATTGACTCACACCTTTACTCAAGCTCCTACTTTGTACCATACACTGTGCTAGTTGCTTTAATCTATATTAACTCTTTAAATCTCACAGCTACATAGCATGCTGGATACCATTAACCTAATTTTGACAATAAATAAAGTGAGTATCAGAGAAAATAAGTGGCTTGCCCAAGTAATTCAGACTAAGGTCTTCTGCTTTTGAGACTAGTGTTGTTTCATTATATCACTAGTGACCCAAGAAAGCAATCAACATCCATTTGGATGTTCCATTTCACATGGAAATGCATAGCTACAATTTATAAACGCCAGTCTTGAATGTGTTCATGCAAGAATTATAAACCTATAAACTGGTTATAGAAAACACTCAACATAAGATGCTCACAAAGAGAGGTTCATTGGAAACCTGTATAATAAATACTGACTTTTAAAAAAAAGTGCTGACACTATTTCATACAGCTTTAAAATAGTTTATCCCCTTACATCTCCCCTTGACTTTGCCCAACACACACACACACACACACACACACACACACACACACACACACACACACTTTAATTCAGGAAAATTATATCAAAACTGAATTCATAAAATCATTAAGAAGTTTAGCATTCTCTACCCACTGATAAAGATGCTAAAAAACAGGTGAATGACCCAAAGATAATGAGCAAGAAGAAATGAAATGCTGGATAATCTATAAATAGACAAGAAATAACTAAATGACAGGTAGGGCACATGTAACCTATATAATTTGTCGTCTTACCTCCCAAGTAGACTTAAATCCTAAAGCAGAGAGAGAAAATAAATATTTATAGCCTTAACCAAGGTATCAGCTCTATCAAGCATCCATATAATCGGATATTTCCCATCTCAGGAATAGAAGACTGCTCAACAGAACAGGACATCACAGAGCAAAGGCCTATAAGATACTTGGGTGACCATCTAATCCAACACCCTCAATTTGCAGTTAAGGAACTTCTGGCCTAGTCAAGCAACCTGCTCCAAGCCAACAACCAATATCAGTGCCAATATGAAAGCCAACATCTCTCAGTGTTCTTTTCATAGCACCATACCACTGCTACCAAAGGTACACCATGGCAGCTAACACCTACTCATCACCCACAAATATTTGCTCGGGATGCAATTTATATATTGTAATCCAGGAAATATCACCATATACAATAACCACAGCTTGCCAATTTGGGAAACTGCTAAAGCGCACTCTGCCTGTCCCTAAAACCCAAATTACTTTCTACTCACAGCATTCACTTATATCCACAGAAACTGGCCAAATGCTCCTCAGATATATTCCACTCTTATATTTCCCAAGGAGAAAGTGATACAAAAATCACCGCATGAAATTAATGAGGATAGAATTAGTACCTTCCCCAGAAAGCAATCTCTGGTGTGCCTTTCGTGTAGATGGAGTCACTGGTGTCATTCAGCCCGTTGGTGATCCCACTAGAATAACCCATCACTATTCCACCATCTGCTGAGACACTCAGGACATCTTGCTGTCCTGCCACTGTTGTCCTCTCCAGAAACTGACTGCCTTCTTTAATGCGCTGCTGTATCATTGGAGTGAGAGGCATTTCAAAGCTAAAATAGCTATCAGGTTCTGAATATAATGTCTCCAAGGACTCAGCACTGTAGTATAAGGAAGTGTTGTCCAAAATGGTTTCAAACTGGGAGCTGTACACATCAGTGGAGTCCTCTGTATACGCAGGCCCAAGGACATCATCATCTCCTCCCCTAAAGTGCTCCTCTTGCTCAAGAATCCTAGAAAGAAAATAAGAATGAAGAATTTCAATATTAGGTTAATATTCTTTTTACTTTTTCCCTTTCAACCATATAACCATATAAGAAAGATAATATTCCGTAAAGCTAACAATTTTGTTCTTTGGGTTATGTTTTAATATATTTGAAAAGGAAGCTATCACAGAAACATATTCGGGTTGAAGAACCTCTTAGCATACATGTGCTGTCTAAATAATTTCTGTAGTTTCAAACTAATTTCCTAGTATGTGACTATATTTGAATGAAATATTAAACTCTCATTTTAGCCAACTAAACTCCACAAATTCAAATTGTTAACAGCCACTGTCATCCTTAATTTTAACAGAACACAGATAAATATACTGTGTAAACTTAATGGAGTAAAAATACACTAAACTTTCATCGGTCTATTAATACATTCTGATTTAAACAAGACCAACTGCCCTCAAGAGGATGAGAAGATTAGAATCCAAGGGCCGCCCCCTGCCGACAACAAGGCAGCACTGCAGAGAGTTTTCAGACCCAAAATTCGACAGCCAGCGAATGACCTTTAAAAACAAAAACAATTTTTTTAAAAGCCAACAAACATGTTTATTGAAAGGCTAACCAAAACAGTGAAAACCTATAAACAATTAATTAGTATGCAGCACTGTGTTCAAATATTAAAAATGAATATTAGGATAATTACGTAAATTTTTTTAAACTCCATAACAGCAAAGCTCAAGAGTTAGAAAAACCTGGGGCTGAATGTTGGATGTGCCAATTACCAGCTATATCACTTTAGAAAACCTTACTTAATCTCTCTAAGCCTCAAATTCCTATAAATAAGAATAAAAATAGAAAACTACCTCACGTAAATCTATTATGAGGATTCACAATCAACAATACAGTTGTCTTTGCTGTTTTTAAATTATAAAGGTCTACCACATACCAAATAGTATTCTGGGTCTCTTAATGGCTTCTCACTGCCCATGGAATAAAATGGGAAGCTCCTCCCTACCTCTCCATGCTCATTTCCCAACCCCACAGCTCCTTATGCTCCAACCACACTATTGAGTTTCAAATCTTCTCACTTTCCATAAAGACTTCATTTCACACAACTCTAGGAAGCGCACATAGCTAGGCAATCCAGCAGCTCTCCTTTGCACATTTTGTTCCCTTCCTCCCTGGAATATTCTTCTTCCCCATTTTCTGCCTGATTAACTCATATTCATTTCTCAAGTCTCAGCCTACTTATCATTTCTACAGAAAGGTCTTCTCTAAGCCATCAACCGAATTTATTTTTTTCTAGTATGTCTCTGTTATTTTCCTTCCCAGAACCTACCACAATTTGTGATCCTATAATTATTAACATGTTTATGTAGTCAGTGTTTATCTTTAGTAGTTTTTAAACTGCTAAACTAAACGCCATGAGGGAAATGACCACAAGTTATTATCTATTTTGAACATTCTTTTATGTCCAGTATTTAGCAGGGTCAAGAACATCACAGACAGTCAAAAACTATTTGTGGAAGAAGGGAGAGGGGAAGGGTGGAATAAATTAATAATATGTACAATAGCAAAAGTGTATATTTCAGTGGGACTATAACTACTGAGCCATGTGCCGCATATCAAGGCTGCTTTTGAGGGACGTCTAGAGATTTTATGTGTTAAGGGGGTTGGGGAGGAAGAAGTGGAGAGGAGGAGTCCTGATAACCTTCCTAAAGGAGCATCACTCTAGGTGGATTTGTTAATTAACTACAGAGGAAAATGTATTTCCTTACACCAAACAAACAAAAAACCCTTCAGCCTTGACACAGATGTTCTCCCACATAAACTATAAAATGTGATGCAATGAGGACTGATGGATGAAAAGATGGTACAAGTTGGAAATGAGAGTACATGACAAATGACTTTGCCAGAAGGAGCACTGTATGGTCAAGACAGCAATGAAAAGAAGTGAACAAAGATGAGTTATGTCTTCCATTTATCCAGGCTCTAAGCTGATATGGATGTCAGAAATGTATGGCAAGATCAGGAGGTACCATATCATGCTAAGATGATTTATCAGGCCCAAAATCAAAACATATGCTACTTGTAAGAAGGGATTCTCATGTGAATGCCACAGAACAACTGAATTCGAAAGTCTACTTCTGACCTCTTGACCTCCTTTCTAAACCTAGAAAACTGGGGCAACCCAAACCCAAACCTCTGCGTTCACACATGTATGCGGCTTGTATATAGGCACTGGTGTTGCACACAGAAGAAGTGCCTAAGATAGGATATAGTGACTATAGGATATGTCAAGAGTCCAAACCTTTCATATTATTAAAGATAACCGTGGGGTATTTTAGTTACCTTAATGTTGGAAAAGTTGAAACCTGTCAAACATAAAAAAACGTCAGAAATGGATCCACATGAGTATGGTGTTCACAGCCTCTCTGTAACTCTGCCTTCCCAGTTTATGCCTAATGCACAGCTTTATAACAAGATCACTTTTATATCTTAGAGACTTAGAAGGAATCTGGCTTATAATAAATTCTCTTCCATTCTATAATAACAAGGACCCAGGATATTATGTTGAGTTCTCATGGCCAAGCACAGGATAAAGATCTCTTATAATGTGTACAAGGCATCACAGACAGCAGGATGACTGTGGGAGCTCACCTTTCCTTGTCTCTCTCCAGTTCAGGTTTCTTCTCAAGATGTTCTTTGTTTTCCTTTAGGAAGACTTCATCCTCTCCACTCTCAACAAGAGGCAGAGGGGAAAACGTCCCTGAGCTGGTGCCCAGCTTCTCTGATGATCTCCAGGTTTCATCCCAAACACTCTCAGTTAAACCAACTGAATTATACAAACCAGCACATGAAATGAGATGGGTTGGCACTCTGGAAAGTTCTCTGTTTTCAGGAGAGGTGCTCCTTTCCAATGATATCTCAAAATCCACAGGATGCTGTATCTCTCTTTTCTCCCCTCCTGTCCACAATATTTCCACCCCTTGAAATTCCACGTGTTTGACCCGGCCTGGGCGTCCTGTGGAGCTACCTTGATCAGACCTCTTCTCTCTCAAAAGAGCAACACTGCCTGCAGAGGTATGCGTCACTGCTGGGCTCCCCAGGGAGGATATAGAACAAGCTGGCTCCTGCACATGGACAGCCCCTTTTCTACCATTATTAGTTATCTTGGAAAGCTCTGCCTGAGCTTCTCCAGTTAACAGTACAGTCTGATCCTTCTGGATGCTCAAATAAAAGTTCTCCTCAGTCGTAACTTCAGCTGAAAGAGGTATATCTGGTGCTTTTTCTTGGCCAGCAGGAAATAATTTTTTGGCTCCCTGTCTCTTTGTTTTATGAGGGACAGTGTCCAGCTCTTTATCCACCTGCTGAACTGAAAAACTAGAAATAGCATCTTTGTCCAGTACCTTTGTAGCCTGTAATGTTCCTGAAGCTTTTCTGGCTTCTGTGGCTTTCAGAGTTGAAATCAAGGAGTCAATGGGTTGTAAACTTTGTTCCTTGAGGTGACTTTGAGTGAGGGACTCTCTGACATCTTTTGGTCCGTCGGTAACACTCTCAAGCCCAGACTGGTGGCCATGAAGAAGCTGGACCCCCAGCTGCCCTTGTGGGCAGCCTGGCAGAGACTCTGTATCAAACCCAAGAGAAGTTCTTAGGCCTTCTCCACTATCCTCCATGGTCCCATATTCTGGAAATTCATTTGTGACATTTGGTGGGAGTAAAGTGCTTCCTCCATGATCACCTACGAGTAGAACAGAAGGGACACATAACTTGTTTTGAACAATAGGTTAGAATATGTAATGATAAATATCCACACATATTAGGTACTCAATAATCCTTATTTGATTCTTTCACTGTCTCCTGCCCTCAACCACTCTGCAACACATCCTTCTTGTAACTTTGCCAATGGTCCCTTCCATTTAGCTTACATGAAAGTAACCACAAAGGTTTTAGTATAGAAAGAGGCAATCTAATGACACATGCCATATTTCACCCTCCTTTTGATAAAGTCCCACACAGAAAACTCAGTTGCTGCACATGCAAAAAGAGACTAAAATAAAATACCTATCACTTTTATGTGATACCATTTATGAAGTAGTAACTAAAATATTTATATTGGGCATAAAAACAAACAGCCTTACGATCCAGCCAAAAGTATCTGTGCAGTGCAATCTCTGAGACAGAGCCTCAGAACAAAGATATGATCTACCTAAAGTCAGTAAATACTTTTTTGGCTGGAAGCCTCCCCTTCACTATTAGATTTCTCTGGGGGGTGGGAAATGCCTCCAGAACATCCCTGGACAATGAGACTAAAGTCAAAATGGAATAGGATACTTCATGTGTTAAGAAAATTTTCCAGGATCCCAGCCACATAAAATTTAAACAGTGTGTTACGTAGAACCCCAATATATGAAGCAGTGAAAACAATAATTAGTATATTTTTACTACAGTGAACCAAATTTACATTTTCTTACTAAAATAGCAGTCATTGAGAACAATGAAAACATTCTGATGAAGAAAAATTTTAACTGAGAGTTTATGGAGACCAGTTACAGTTACATCAACCCCACTATCCAATTTTCTTCCAAACTTGGTTTTGGTTACTTTGTATCAAGAAAATCCTCATCTACAGTAGAAATGCAGTGTACTCACTTTAACAACTTTATTCAAAAGGACATTTGTTGTGTTGTTGTTGTTTTTTTTAATGTTTATTTACTTTTGACAGAGAGAGAGAGAGAGAGAGAGAGAGAGAGAGAGCGCATGAGCAGGTGAGGGGCAGAGAGAGAGGGAGACACAGAATCCGAAGCAGGCTCCAGACTGAGCTGTCAGCACAGAGCCCGACATGGGGCTCGAACTCACAGACCGTGAGATCATGACCTGAGTCAAAATCAGATGTTCAACCGACTGAGCCACCCAGGCGCCCCTGTTGTGCTGTTGTTTTTAAAGCACTGTGAATTACAACCTTCCTATTTAGTGAAATGTTAGATAAATGTCTGAATATATACACTGAACATGAAAAACTTGATTCTAAGGCATGTACAAAATGAACTTAACTTAGAAATGTGTTGGGGCACCTGGGCGGCTCAGTCAGTTAAGCGTATGACTTCGGCTCAGGTTATGATCTCGCGGTCCGTGAGTTCAAGCCCCGCGTCAGGCTCTGTGCTGCCAGCTCAGAGCCTGGAGCCTGTTTCAGATTCTGTGTCTCCCTCTATCTATGACCCTCCCCCATTCATGCCCTGTCTCTCTCTGTCTCTAAAATAAATAAATGTTAAAAAAAAAAAAAAAAAAGAAATGTGTTAACATATGGTATCCCCCAGTATGCAAAATATACGATCAGTAATACATCTGAGAGTATATACTGTTTAATATTCCATTTTTTAAACAATTAGAAATATATTTTTAAAATTAAATTTGAATAAGGTATGGATGGAATCCAAGAAGCACTTCTCTGTGATAGCAGTATTTATAACACCTTCATAAGACAAGACTAAGAGAATGTGGCTTGGTGAAATCTGAAGAGGGAGCATCTCTTCAAATCCTGTTTTTGAAAACAAAGATAGTTAAAAACAGTAAGATTCCTTTTCCTCAGGTGCATACTGACATTTTTCCCTCTTTTAAGATTCAGTGGCTTGTAATATGCTCCCAAAATTATACTATTACCACTCTCTAATTCCAGAACATTTCACCACAGCCCCAAACAGACCCATATCTATCAGCTGGCACTCCCTATTGCCCTATCTCCTCAGCCCCTGATAACTACCAATCTTCATTCTTTCTCTGGATTTGTGTATTCTGAACATGTCATAAAAATGGAATCCTATAATATGTGGCATTTGTATCTGGCTTTTTTCACTTAGCACAATGATTTCAATGTTTATCCACATTGTGGCATGTATCAGAACTTCATTCTTTTTTACTGCCAAATAATATTCTATTGTATGGATATACCACAGTTTCTTTATTCATTCATCAGTTGATGGACATCTGTGTTGTTTCTACTTTTAGGTTATTAGGATTAATAAACATTTGTATATAAGTTTTTGTGTCTACATTTATTTTCAATTTTTGTGGGTAATACATCTATGAATGGCATTTCTGGGTCTCATGATAATTCTGTTTCATGCCTGAGAAGCTCCCAGTTTTCCAAAGCAACTGCACTATTTTACATTCCTACCAGCAAAGTTTGAGAGTACCATTATTGTCCATCTTTTTTTTTTTTTTTTTAATTTTAGCTGTCCTGGTGGGTACTGAATGGTATCTCACTGTGGTTTTGATTTGCATTTCCCTAGTGACTGATATTGAGCATCCCGTCATATACAAATTGGTAATTTGTACATTTTCTATCTATTCAGATCCTTTGCCCATTTTATAACTCAGTTACTTGTCTTTTTATTATTAAGCTGTAAGAATTCTTTATATAATCTGGACAGTAGTTCTTTATCAGATATATACTTTGCAAGTATTTTCTCCCATTCTGTGGGCTGTCTTTCCCTTTAGTTGATGGTGTCTTTTGAAGCACAAAAGTTTTTAATTTTGATAAAATCCAACTTATCTACTTTTTCCTTTCATTGGTTGTGCTTTTGGTGTTATATGTAACAAATCATTATCCAATCCAAGGTCAAAAAATTTATTCCTATGTTTTCTTCTAAGATTTTTACAGTGTTAGCTACTACATTTAGATTTTTAATCCATTTTGAGTTAACTTTTGTATATGGTGTGAAGTAGAGACCCAACTTCATTTTTCATGTTGGATATCCAGTTGTCCCAACACTATCTGTTGAAAAAACTTCCATCTCCCACTGAACTGCCTCGATATCCTTGTAGAAAATCAACTGACCATAAGTTTAAAGGTTTACTTCTGGACTCTCAATTCTATTCCATTGAGCTAAAAGCCTATCTTGTTGCTGGTATTACACCATCTTGATTATCATAGCTCTGTGGAAAGTAAAATCAGGAAGTGTATGTTCTACTTTATTCATCCTTTTCTAAGTTGTTCTGACTATTCTGGGCCCCTTCCATTTCCCATATGAATTTTAGGATCAGTTTGTCAGCTGATATTTTGAGAGAGACTGGGGTGAATCTGTAGAGTACTGGAATCTTAACAATAATACTATTACATCTTTTGACCTATGCCATAGACTGTCTTTCCATTTAATTTTCTTTAATTTCTTTTAGCAAATTTTTATAATTTTAAATACACAAATTATGCATTACTTTTATTAAATTTATACCCCTTAGTGTTTTATTCTTTTTGCAACTATTATAAGTAGGATTCTCATTTTTAAAATTTCATTTGCAGATTATCCATTGATAGCACATAGAAACATAATTGGTTAATGTACACTGAACTTACATCTTGTAACCTTGCCAAACTTTTTAACTTCTAATAGCTTTTTTATGGATTCCTTAGGATTTCCTATATACAAAATCATGTCATCCATGAAAATAAATAGTTTTACTTTTTCTCTTCTTTCTTATCTGGATGCCTCTTATTTATTTTCCTTGTCTATTTTCCCTGGCTAAAACCTCTACTATAATGTTGAAAAGAAGTAGTAAGAGCAGACAACCTTGTCTTGTTCCTAAATTTAAGAGAAAGCTTTTAGTTTCTCACCATTAAGTATAATGTTAGCTGTGGACTTTTCACAAATGCCTTATATCCGGCTGAAGAAGATCCCTTCTATTCCTAGTTTGTCAAGTGTTTTTATCATGAAATGGTGTCAAATTCTGTCAAATGCTTTTTCTGTTAACTGAGATGCTCATGTGGGTTTCGTCTTTTTTTCTAGTAACCATTATTATATCAACTGATTTTTATATACTGAACCAATCTTGCATCCCTGGAATAAATCTCATTTGGTCAGAGTGTATAATCCTTTTTATATTTTACTAGATTCAGCTTTCCAGTATTTTTGCTGAGCAATACTGGTCTGCAGTTGTCTTGTACTATCTTTGTCTGGTTTTGGTATTAGGGTAATGCTGGCTTCACAAAATGAATTGGGAACTATCCCTATATTGGTACCTTTTTACAACTTTTAAAAACATTGTTCACGTTTTACACTTTTTTAGGCTTTTAACAGTTTTCTGTGTTCATCAGTTTCTTCAACACTTCCAAACTATAAATTTATTGTTAATATGCAATGAAAGAAAATGGTCAATAATCCAAAAAGATGTTTTTCTTTCTTTAACATAGTAAAAGAGCTTAAAGTAGATAGAGAAGTATTTAGTCCCCAGTAGGATATATTTCCTTTAGATTTTAAATGTTTTTCATTATTTCTCTAAGCTAGGGTATACCTTTACAAATATTCAAGGATCAAAGAACATAGAATTTCAAAGGTTGAAGGGATTTAAGAATTAATTCAGCCAGCTAACATAATTAAGGCAGGCAGCTGAGAAGGCAGGTTCAACTGAATGATGTACTCTACCAAAATAAATAAAAGTCAGAGCTTATCTATTCCACCTTCACTATGCTTTACATCCCTCCCTGCCCCTCCATCTTTATTGGTAGTAAGGTACTCTAACATGTGTGTCTTCAAACTTTTCCCTGAAACTTAAAAATCTTCTGAAACAGTTATCCAAAACCCAGCCTCATTTTCCCACTTTGTTCCTAAAACAAAAGTTTATGTTGCTTTCAGTAGTTCTGCACTGCCTAGAGAATAAAGTCTAAAGTCCAAACTCGTTGATCTAGAAGTCAGGATCCATAACCCAGTCCCAATGTATCTTTCTCAAACTATTCTCTTTCTCTTG